ATCTTCCAATAGCAGCTCGACACATCAGCTGAGTCAGTCCCATCGCCTATATTTGAAAATTTACTCGTGCGACCTGTCGACCCAGCCCACTCGATTATAAACGAGCTATAACTGATCTATAACCGCCGCGTAACTGATCCGTTTAATCCCGCGGTGCAGCTCCAATAAATGATCCGTAACTGGGGTGTAACCTCCGGACGATCGAACCGCGCGTATAACTTTTAGGTAACCTCCACAGCCTTGTACAGAGGGATTGTAACTTTTCGGTAACCGACTTAGCAAATGTACCGATCGTGTAACCTGGTGGTAACATCGGTAGCCAATGTAACATTCACTTAACATGTACTGATCAAATACCCGTGGTAAAAATTTAGACAGTAAGAATTCTTTAGGGTTCGTTGACGTTTTCATTCGCGCCTAGGGTTTGCCTTCCTCTCGAATGTTGAGGTATTGTTTAGGTTTTCGCATTTGGAATAAAATGAAAGACATCGGCCAGAGTACGACCTTGTTGGAAGAGGAAAATGTTGCGCAGTTGGATGAGGAGGAGAAGTCGGACATGTAAGAGGTCAAGAAGCTTGAGGTTGAGTAGGCAAAGCAAATGGCGAAGGGTGGATGTAAGAAGAAGGATTTAGATGGCTCCAAGTCGGAGGGCACCGAACCCATTAAGAAACCCAAAGCCGTTTATGGGTATTTTGAAACTTTGCTTTAGTTAAAGTTTTGTGCTTTACAATTCTGAATGTTTAATATTAATTTGAGTTTTAAAAGATCTTAAATTTGAGTTTTTTAAAAAGGGTTTTGAAGTTAGGGTTTAGAGTTGAATGAATATTTTGATTAAATGAGTTTGATTTTGTAATAGATTTTTAGTTTGATTATTATTTACTTGGTTTAACATACATTAAAATTAATTATAGATTTTTTAGCGCAAAATCAATGAATTGCAGATACCGTCCATCTGTAGTACGAGAAGCTCTGGATAAGGTCCGACCAACTATCGACGAGCACACGTGGAATAAGTTGGAAACAATGAGCTTGGTTCAATTTTTTGAACTTCCTCCGTACCCTCAGGATCATATTCTGACAATAAAATGCATATAATTAACTGTTGGAATATTGATCGAATCACATTTCAGCTTGGTGGGAAAGAGCTCGAATTTGATACTGACCAAGTTGCCCTCCTGATAGGCATGCCCAATAGAGGGTTACCCGCATGCCAGAATAAAGCTCTATCCTGTAGCATTGATGCGAGACAAATGAAAATCGAACTTATTAATTTTGACCCAGGACAGTCGTTTGATCATTTTATAGAATTATTAATAAAGTTTTTAT